ATTCTCTGGTGTTTTTAGACAAACATTACCAGTCTTTGCAGCAGGAAGAACAGCTGATGAAATCAATGCTTGCCTGAAAGAGTCGTACATCTGGAGCCATATTCAAAGACTCAGCCTGAAAAATAACATGAGAGTTAAAATCACAGGTGATCTTGAAGCAAAATGATTTGCTGCTTTGCTGTTGCAGTTTGGAAATGGAAACATCAAAATAGACCAAAATGGAGATTAATGGATTAAAAATGACTTTGCGAGAGGGCCATATTAGATCTCAAGTATAAAACTGTGGATAGCATCAACTGGAAACGTCTCCAAGAAATTCCAAATGAAAGTATGAATTACTTTTCCATTCACACTTTGGCAAGCCGTGAGTAATCCAATTCAAATCTTCCTGCAATGTCATCAGACGCCTAAAATAAATTGACCCCTTATGATATTGAGAAATCTCCACAGTTTTGTAATGGAACAAGGTTAATAGTCAAGAAGATAATTCATCAGCACTTGGAAGCAGATCATATATATATATATATATATATATATATATATATATATATATATATATATGTGTGTGTGTGTGTGTGAAAAGTGTATATAAATATAAATAAATATATATATGTATAATTATTTATATATTATATATGCGGTACTTATTAGAAAGCGCTCAATATCAGAGATAGAGCTAACATATTTGGTTGGATAGACAAACTCTGACGATCGCTAAAGCGTGAAACCCAGGGTCACAAACTCACATCTATCCAACCAAATATATATATATATATATATATATATATATATATATGAAAGTGAAAATTAAATTCAAAACTCAGAGGCGATGGCTGTTTCATGTTAGACGCAATCGTCAGGCCGCGCGGCTGAAGATTGCATCTAGCATGAAACAGCCTGTCTCTCTGAGTGTTGACTCAATATTCACTTTTATATTTATATTTACATACGCTCTATCGCTGATATTGAGCACTTTATCCCATCAATAAAGCACACCGTAAAGCTATATTTCTTCATATATATATATATATATATATATATATATATATATATATATATATATATATATATATATATTAAGACATTTTCTGTTTAACATTGTCCATTTCATAATAATATATATATATATATATATATATATATATATATATATATATATATATATATATAAGGTAAAATATAGATTTATGGTATTCTAGATTTATGGGTTAATTTGCTCAATATCAGAAATAGAGCCTAAGTAAATGTAAAATTGGGCATTGAAGTCAACACGCAACGGCGACAGTTCTGTTTCATGATAAACGCAATCGTCAGGCCTTGTGTTGCGTTTACCTAGACTTTATACATATACAGATCAGTAATACATTGTGGGTAGTATACTGCGTTGTCGTCAGTCTATTGCATTATTCCAATGGTTATTTTGATAGGTGTCTTTTCGTAATTTGTTTATTTAAGCTTATTGTATTTATTTATTTGTGTGAATTAATTTATTAAATTTAAATTTGAACAAGGGACTGACTACTAGGGTACTTGAATAAAGGGAGTCCACCCGGGGAGTGCATAACCCCACTGATTTTTTTTTCCCTTTGATTTAAATTAAATTTAAATTTGAACAAGTGAATGATACCTATCCAAAATATAGAAGGAGCAAGACAGAAGTTGGAGGTCACATAAGCAAGTAATATTAAAATGCATTATTTTTCTCCACAGATTAAAATCAGTCATAATATTCGCACAGAAAAATGTGACGCGAAGCAAGGCGTAGGTAATTCGGCTCGTAGACAAATAAGTATCTAAAAACAAGCTGAAATAAATCGATAAGCATAAATTAATTGTGACGAAGAGGATTTGATAAAAAAATGTCACACAATACAGACGGCAAAATAAATTAAGCCAGACAAATAAGTAAAGACAGTTTGACAGGTAAACATAGAAAAAAAAAGTAAACATAAAATTATATCTATACGTTTCGAGACGTATAGATATAATAACGCCGATATAAATTTAAATAAATAGCGCTCGGTATCGATTGCAAACAAATACACGGAAGATAAACCATTTATCGATATTTTAAATAGATAAATCGATAGCTAAAAGGCTGATGGATAAATAGAAAATGAAAGACAGAATTTCGAAATACACAGCAATGATGATAAAAAAAAAACCGCGAGAAGCAAACAGAAAGAGATATTATTGAACGAAAGGCTAACGGTGACAAATATATAACACCGCTAGTTTCAAAGCAAATGACGGGGAATAATAACAAACCATGATATCATTTAACGGGTTAGCCTTGATACGATACACCCACATAAAAAGAACACGTCCAAAGATAGCGTTGGGGATTATATCGATAGATTCATTCGTCTTTTCCTGTATATTCTCTTCATATATATATATATATGATTTAGATGTTCGGTTCATACTAAAATTAATTTCTGTGAACATTCACCATACTCAGACACACATGTCAATTGAGAAATAATAACATCAATGCCTATCTATAGGATGGCAAATGTTTACCAAAAGTACTTGTAATATGGACCGAATATCGAATCCATCTTACAATTAATAAAAACATGGATATATATATATATATATATATATATATATATATATATATATATATATATATATAAAGAACTGTAAGATATATAATCCGGTGTATTTTTATTTTTTTTACAAAATAGTGCTCAATGTAAATTTACTGAGCATTAATATTATAAATTAATTGATTTAAAATATGGTTTTTCGCTACACAGTTCTAACCATGTTTCAAAAAACATTTTTGAAACATAGTTAGAACTGTAAAACATATTTTAAATCAATATTATATATATATATATATATATATATATATATATATATATATATATATATATATATATGTATGTATGTATGTATGTATTAGTGGCCATACCCAGATGATCTATCAGAAAGAGCGTACAATTAGAATGTAGCGAAAACAGCATCATATATACCAAGATTGATTTATACGGAATAAATTCCAATCACCAAAAAATACAATTCTTAAAATAGTGCGCAATACAGAGTCGATTTGAATTTTTGAAATCCTTTATTCTTCATACACAGCCATCACTTGATAAGACAGCAGAATTAGAAAAAATGCCTATTTTTGTAGGAATTTTATAGTATATTTAAAAAATCAGCTCGGCCTAATCAATGGGTCGGCACTACAGAAGTGATTGTTTGGTTTAAAAGCCTCAATAACAAAAACAGTAGTACCTTCATCCAATTTGACATCGTGGGCGTCTATCCATTGATATCTAAGAACCTTTTCCATACAGCATTGGAGTTTGTCGCGTTTTACTCCGATAGTTCTAGGGATGAAATCAACATCATCCTAAATCGCAGAAAATTAAATATAATACACAACAATGGACAATGGATAAAAGAAATATGGTGAAAACTTTGATGTATCGATGGGATCGCTGGATTCTGCTGAATCATCGGACTTGTCGGACTGTTTATTCTATACAATCTCATAGCTCACAATGAAATTAGTTCAAATAATATAGGGATTTATAGAGACGATGGCTTAATGGTAGTGAATAATTCTAACGGAAGCAAGGTTGACGTGTGAAGGAAATGGATTCATAACGTGTTTAAATCTTTATAACTCAAGGTCAAATTTAATTCTAACATAAAACAAATGGACACTTGTTTTTATTATAGCCGGTATATGACATCCAAGTTCTGAATTAAATTCCATGGAATATTACAATTGGCCCGTCGGAAGTGGGAGGTCAACCATTGGCTCCATGATAGCAAGGGCGCGTTGAATAGTAACATTATGGAAATGGTTGCCAACATGAAAAACAATAATTTCATATAGACACGTCCAAGACTTATTGCGGCCTTCCTCTTTGTTGGGGATTATATTTACAGTTTCCTTTTGAAATATACTAATATTTCAAATAGATGTATTTGTTTTTCTTTTACATTATCACTTGGCCGCCATTAATTACCTTCATTTTGTCAGAGATGTTTCCTCACCTTGTTAGCCGATTTCGAATTTGGCGCCGACGTTAAAGCCATTAACTCGAAATCTGAGAGGTGAGATGTTGCTTTTAAGAACGATTGGATAGACACAATATGTTTACCATTATTCCCATGATGAATTCATTGTATCTACATGGCATTCATTTCCTTTAGATTAACGCATATAACAAAAAAGCGCTTATTTAGACTACTTCATTGAAACAGGAATTAGCAAAGGTTTTCTTTTGGAAAAAAGATGTGGATATTTAGCAGACACAACAATATCTACTTTTTATGAGACAAAACGATCAATAAATTTAATAGACGCAAAATGTTTATTGATTTTTATAAGGCAAAATGGTCAAGAAATGTAGACATAAATCTACTTTTTAATGAGACAAAACCTTTTGCAGGTTATTTACGGACTATCATCCTCATCTTTGCTGCCATATTTATCAAAAAGTTTCGGCAGTTGTACGCAACGGTCTTCTTCAGGTGTTTGGAATGTCGAACAGAACCCTTCATTTCGCTCAAAGACACCTGACACAGTGGATAAAGGCGTTAGTTAGAACCAGTGACAGGACCCAAAATAGGGTAAGTTCAATACGTGGTTAAGGCGGTGGAGAACATGGAGAGGGTAATTAACAGAAGATAACTGACATCCATTAGACATGGCGCATGGAACTAGAACAGTCTCCTCTAGAATGATAGTCCGAGCAATGTAAACAGTGTACATAATACCTCATCTCAGAAATATAGACAGACACTTTTGCAGCTTATTTAAAGCCAGAAAATTATTTTAGGTTGTAAGATTGTTTTGAGGCGATAATAATGATTGACTGCTAAAAGTCATACTATTTAACCTATAGTTGGGGGACATAGATTCATAGAATTTCCTAATGTTATTTGCGTAAATGTATACAACGAAGCCAAATGGAATTATAACTCAGCTCTTGGATTCCCAATTCCTAAACATTATATCACATGCACAACAAAGTTTACAGCACCTGGTATTCGAAAACTGTCACCCATCTTCTTACTAATCAAGCCTGACGTTGCTTAAATACAGTGATCGCACGGGAACCGCTGTTTCAACGCGTTATAACCCGATTCACTTTTGCAAATGTGTATATGAAGTATTTTCGTATTGAAAGATAGGATCTTACATATGGTTTACTGCCAAAACCGCATAGGATTTAACTGTCAACCAATACAAAACTAAAAAAAAAAAAAAAAAAGAAAATAGCAACAATTTTAAAACAATGCACGGCTTAAAATACATTTATCTTTCTTGTCTTATCTTTTCTTACGTACACACACCTGACAATGTGTCATGTGAATCGAAATCTCGGACACAACATTAATATTTATACATTAACAACAACCAAATTTACGATACGTTATTGCGTTGAAAAACCATTCCTATCATAAAAGCAGCAGGTTTGTCGTTTGTTACTATTTTGAGACGTAAGTCACATCTTTTCAACACACTTTTGTACGTGTATCTAAGTATAGACTCACTTGCATATATATATATATATATATATATATATATATATATATATATATATATATATATATATATATATATAGTGTATTGGGAAAGCAATGTTATATATATATATGTATATATAAATATATATATATATATATATATATATATATATATATATATATATATATATATATATATATATATATATATATATATATATATGTATATATATATGTATGAAGAAATATACTCTTAAGATGTGTTATATTTATGGGATAAATTCTCAATATCAGATATAGGGCTTGTGTAAATATAAAAGTAAAAGTTAACATTAAAGTCAACACTTAAAGGCGACAGGCTGATTCATGCTAGATGTAACCGTGAGGCCTGACGATTTCGTCTAGCGTGAATCAGACCGTCGTCTCTAAGTGTTGACTTTAATGTTTTCATATATATATATATATATATATATATATATATATATATATCTGTGTGTGTGTGTGTGTCTGTGTGTTTCTGTGTGCTTGTGTGTGTGCTATATTTATGGAATATATTGCTCAATATCAGAGATAAAGCGTGTGTAAATATAATATGAACATTGAAGTCAACACTTCAAAGCGACAGTCTGTTTCATGCTGGACGAGGTGTTGACTTCAATATATATACATATATATATATATATATATATATATATATATATATATATATATATATATGTATATATGTATATGGAATGAACTAAGTTCAACAATTATTTCATATTTAATATACAGTAGCGTCGAAAACTAAGGGACAAAATTTTAAAACCTACTATTTGTTAGAAATAACAACTGTGAAAAGCTGAAATTTTGACAACTGGTAGCATCCATAATAACATACTAAAATGTGAATCATTTGCAAAGGATAGAAAAAAATTATAACAATTATTTATTTATTTTCAAATTTGGAACGTCCAAAAGTAAGGGACAAAATTGAGAAAAACAATGTAAACGGCAAAAAAAACAATAAAAATACATGTACAATCAATATTTAGTAAATGAGCCCTTGCTCTCAATGACAGCTGCACATCGACTACAAGAACGTATTCAGTTCTTGACAATCCTCGATACTAATTTTAGACCATTCTTCTTGAAGCTTCACCCACAAATCCTCTGTGTTAGTGGGATTTCTTTCCATAACTTTCACTCCTAAGGTCTTCTGTATGATTGGCACAACTTGATCTTGAACAATGTTTTTATAGATCTGCGCGTTTACACGAGTTTGTAACCGGACAAGAGGCGTTTAACCTTGGCTAGAAAACATTCCAAATACCATGACGCTTCCGCCCCCAAACTTGACAGTTTTCTTAGTATACGTTGCACTTAATCTTTCACCAATACGTCCCTGTTTTTTTTCCATCATTTCCAAATAAATTAAACTTGCTTTCATTACTGAAAAATACTTTTGCTCAATTTTCATATGTCCAAATTACATACCAGTTTGCAAGCTCTAATCTCTTCTTATTCTTCGAACTAACAAGTGGTTTCTTCCCTGGGGTTCGATTAAACAGCCCTATTTCTTGCAGTCGTCTACAAACAGTCTGTCTTGACAAATTAACACATGAGGTACTATTCATAACCCTTTTAATTTCTGTGCAAGACTTAAAACGGCCCTTTAATGACATACGCTGCATTATTCGATCTTCTCTTGCCGAAGTTTTGCGGGGTCTGCCGGTTTTAAAAGCACTAACTATTTTGCCAGTATCATTGTAGGATTTAACAACCCTGCCTACAACACTCTTGGAACGTTTCACTTTCTCTGAAATCTCTCTAATTGTGTGCTTTTCCTTGAGTAGCTTCACAATAGCTTGTCTCAAAGAGTAATCAAGTTTTTGGCGTTTCGCCATGGTGCCGGCTGATGCAACGTTTACAAATGACTAAGTAAGACATATTCTTTAGAGAAATCAAAAAATTTGAATATAGCATACTGTTTACATGGTTTTCTCAATTTTTTTTACTTTTTTGGACGATCCATTTTGAAAATAAATAAATAGGTTTTCAAATATTCAAATTTTAGTATGTTATTATGGATGATACAAATTTCTAACAAATATTAGGTTTTAAAATTTTGTCCCTTAGTTTTGGACGCTACTGTATTACTTGTTTATATGTAATTTTTATGGATACAACTATTTAAATAAATGCTCTCTTTATAATAAACAGTATTACTTGGATTTACCGGTCTGTACATTGTATAGCACGTCAGGCTAGATGACTGTTCAAGTGTAGTTTACAGGTTCGGTTTCTATCGGAGGACTCATATATTCTATGAAATTTCTCGTCCATTCAGGCTGGTAAATGTTGGTAATACTGTTTATTATAACGTTTACTTATATATTTGTATCGATAAATATAACGCATAAACTATATATATATAATTTTTTCCTTCGACATACATACATACATATATATATATATATATATATATATATGAATGAAGAAATATAATTTCAAGGTGTGCTATATTTATGGGATAAAGTACTCAATATCAGAGATAGAGCGTATGTAAATATAAATCATAAAAGTGAACATTGAAGTCAACACTCAGAGGCGACCGGCTGTTTCATGCGTCTAGCCTGATTGTTTTTTTTGTATATGTATATATATATATACATATATATATATTAATGTGTGCAAATATATATATATATATATATATATATATATATTTAAGCAATTCATCGAGTCTGATATAAATCTCAACAGAATGCAGAAAGCACTGGACGGCCGTTTCGTCCTATATTTGGGACTCATCAGCAGTGCGCATCCACTACAGAGAATTGAAACCCGTACAGTTAGGTTGTTAAGCAAACATCATGCCAACTGTTCCACTGGGCCTCGGTGACGAAGAGATTGCAAATCAGACTCAACTTAGCGCCGCTCGCTCACATATTCCCTGGTGGAAATCTTATTTAGTTCTCTGTAACCATAGGACTGTGCCCCTGGGGCTACGACTACTCTCACCAAGCCGCTCAATCTAGAGCATTAGAAGCCGGTTCAAGCAATGATGTACATGATAGAAATTATTAGAAGGATTTGATAATTATATTTAAGTAATTCATCGAGTCTGATCGAAATCTCAACAGAATGCAGAAATCACTGGACGTCCGTTTCGTCCTATATTTGGGACTCATCAGCAGTGCGCATCCACTACCGAAAATTGAAACCCTGACAGTTAGGTTGTCAAGCAAACATCATACATACATATATATATATATATATATATATATATATATATATATATATATATATATATATATATATATATTCTAATATCATAGTTTGCGATACTTACTGACAAAGGGATGGAAAGCAAAAGGCTTTAACAGAATTCGGCTTTATTTATGATAATTATTATTTAAAAATATGTTGTCACAGAAATTACCATGTTTCTAATCCAAAACCTAAATTTTAAATTATACTTAAATTTCAGTTTCATTTTTCAATTGATGCAAAATAACTTTGGAAAAAAATTGTTTACTCTATTTATAAGCTAAATACTATTACATAGTTTAAGTTGGTGGGGGAATGAGAAAATTATTTTTTTTTTTTATTAATGTTTGTTTTTTTTTTTTTGACGAATCAAGATACAATTATACATTTTTGTGGTAGAGTGAAAATTGATCAAATATAGTTAGGTGGCTAAGATTTCTGTCTGTTGACACTGACTTCCTTTTATGCAAATGTGTCATCACAGTCTGATTTTTTTTTTTTTTTTGGCGGGGGTTTACAGTAAAATACAACTGGCAATTTTATTTATTTTCTTATTTTGTAAAATACATCGGGATTTTCTTAAATGGGATTTCAAATATGATTAAGTCATATTTATATTTAGTGTTTTACTTATAAAGATCTAAAATTCTAAATTTACTATATTTACTAATGAACTATATATGGCATTTTAAAATTATAATAGTAAAATTTAATTACGCATTTTTAAACTATTTTATTTATGATCAAATATTAGATAGATGGAGAGAGAAGGGAGATCACCGCCCTCTGTGGGATCATGTTGAGATCATAGACAAAGAACACCACTGGAAAATTCGTAAACTTAAGGAATCAACACATATGCTAGGCCACAAAAATGTCCTGAGCCGACCAAGCATAGAAATAAATACAATATGGGAACCAGTAAAAAGTTGCAATATGAGCTCTGGTAAAAACATAAAATGATAACAGCAAAATTGCAATATGAGCACTGGTAAAAATGTTTGCTGAAGAGATTAGGTTTATAATACCCAGAAATTCAGGGGGAAATTAACAGGTGGTAACTGATAACTGACTTCCGTTAAACATGGCACGTGGAACTAGAACAGTCTACCCTAGTGAGCGAAATAAAGGGTTAAGTTCGAAATTCCAAACACCTGAAGAAGGCCGGAGCGTACAACGGCCGAAACGTTATGATAGATATGGTGACAAAGATGAGAACAATAGTCCGAATAATGTAAATAATGTACATAATACATCATCTCAAAAATATAGACAGACTCTAGATATCTAATTATGCAAATTATTTTTATAATTAATTTTTAAGGAAAATATGAGACAATATCTACAAAAACTACTA